ATATTTTAAAAGTAATAATTTATGCCTGATGAAGGTCAGTGGACAGAAACTTTGCTTGTGCTTATAACAATAAATTGCAATATTTATCAAGTACTGATAGTGTGTGGGATTGCATCTTTTTATATTTTGGAAAATTGGATTTTCCTACGCACCTATCATTTTTTCAGGTGTGCTGAGTTTGTGTTGATTGAAAACTAATAATTAGAAAAGCAGTGTACCTCATTCATGGAAAGTTTCAGGGACGTATAATTTATAAAATTACATCAAAATGATCAAAGGTTTGTAATACAATTGTCTACTTTCCGCTGTTATATCAGGGTTCATTTTTTAACAAGTTAATATAGATTTATTGTTTAAACTTTTGTTGCAGAGTTGATTGAAGATAATGAGGAGAAAGAAGAATTGAGTGAAGTTGAGGAGAAAAATCATGTCAAAAGTGGAGAGGATCCATTCACTTGTGATCAGTGTGGGAAGAGTTTCACTCAATCATCAAACCTTAAGAGACACATTAATATTCATACGGGAGAGAAAGTGTACACATGTGATCAATGTGGAAAAAGTTTCACACAATCATCACACCTTAAGAGACACATGAACATTCACACTGGAGAGAAACTGTACACTTGTGATCAATGCAGCAAAACATTTTTGTGGGCTTCAGAACTGAAGAATCACCTGCGAGTTCATACGCTTGAATCTTTTGTAGAACTGTAGTGTAGAAATGTGCTGATGTATCGCATACAATTGTATATATGTAATTCTAAATGTATGTAACTTTGTTTACATCAATTGTGCCCATCTACAGTTTAATAATGCATTTTGTGCTGATGCTTTATCCAGTCTTGCTTGAACAATAAAGCATGTACAGTTACATTTTTTGTCTTGTAATCAACACCTTAACAGCCAAATGAAGTATGCAAACCAAGTGTGTTGCACACAGGGTAAGTGAATCATAGTTTATTTATTTACTTTTAATGAATTCACGGGTATATGCACTTCTACCAGAAACAAGGTAGTTAATATCCACAAGCCATAAACCAGATTATTTAACTTGATGTCACTTCCTGTGTGTCAAAATTAAGAAATTTTAAGTAATTGGTGTGCATTAATTGATTGTTTATTGTTATGGAGTGACTGGTTTTATAAGTGGTGTTCTGAGAGCAGTGTATAACCTAATGTTGTTTGTTGCAGGAGCGGAGTGTCTAAGGCGGGGGTGGATTTCTGGTGGTGGTCTTTCCTTCACGAGTGCTGTGCTATGCGTGGTGGTGTGTGTAGGCGTGAGTGTGTGTGTGTGTTTATGCACAGGTGTAAGGGAACAGTGACTTTCTATGGAGGCCTTGTTGTGCCCTTTATTCCCTTCTGCACTCTGAATTCGGATGTCTGAGGCTACTCGGGTCACTCTTGTTGTATTTCATTATATTGTGTAACTAAACTGTTTGTGATTTTCTCTTCTCTGTGCTTTTTTTAAAACATCATCTTTAATAAAATGTATTTTCTTTAATATATAAAGGGTCTGAATACTTAGGACCATGTGATATTTCAGTGTTTCTTTTTTAATAAATCTGCAAAAATGTCAACAATTCTGTGTTTTTCTGTCAATATGGGGTGCTGTGTGTACATTGAGGAAAAAAAATTTACTTAAATGATTTTAGCAAATGGCTGCAATATAACAAAGAGTGAAAAATGTAAGGGGGTCTGAATACTTTCCGTACCCACTGTATGTCTCCTGCTGAGTCACTGTGAACAAACCTGTGTTGCCTCAAGAGGAAATTTATTATATATATTATTATTATATCCCAGGTCAAACTCCAGAGTGGCATAGTCGCCTGGTGTTAAATCTCTTATCGCAGTGAAGAGTGAAGATGGGAGAAAGAGGATCACTACCAGAGAGATGCAAATCAAAAGTATTTTATTAATGAGGGAAAAATCTTCAGGGGCAGATCATGCCAAAATAATAATAAAAAAAATCCTTCTTTTAACTGATTAAACTCTGATGTGGTTTCTCTCCAGTGTGAATCTTTTCATGTGTATTCAGAGTTTCTGACAGATTGAATCTCATGTTGCAGTTTGAACACTTTTCCAGTGTGAGTTTCCTGCTTTCAGTTTAGCATCTGTAGTAAAGGACTTCCTTTCCTTTATCTGAATCTTCAGGTGTTTCTTCAGGACTGATGCTCAATGAAACTGAAAGCCGGAGCCGCTTCTTCCCAGTGTAAACGAAGGAAAGTGACAGATTTTTTGGCTTCTGTTTTTGCTGCTTTGTTCACATCCATCGGGTCTACAAGAAACATTAAATCATATGAGATTTCAATTGAGAGACAAATGTGAAATGAAAAGTGATGAAAACACCAAAGTCCAGATCACTGATGAGTTCAATAGTCATTTTAATCCATTAAATCTGCTCGACAACTGCTGTGCACGATTAATCTATTTTAATGTCATGAAGATGCTTTTATAAATCTCTAGTTTGGTCATGAAACTCTAGATGGCACAAACCTGACATGTAATGTGCTAACACTCACATCGTTTCCTACCTTTTTTTTTTTGGCTTCTGTTTTTGCTGCTTTGTTCACATCCATCGGGTCTACAAGAAACATTAAATCATATGCGATTTCAATTGAGAGACAAATGTGAAATGAAAAGTGATGAAAACACCAAAGTCCAGATCACTGATGAGTTCAATAGTCATTTTAATCCATTAAATCTGCTCGACAACTGCTGTGCACGATTAATCTATTTTAATGTCATGAAGATGCTTTTATAAATCTCTAGTTTGGTCATGAAACTCTAGATGGCACAAACCTGACATGTAATGTGCTAACACTCACATCGTTACACAGCACAAGCTTATTGACATCTAAGCTATGCCAAACTTGCTGACTGTTCATGTCATATGTTCATCCATGATATACTGCCCTCTTGTGTGTATATTTCTTTTATAACGGAGAAAGTAGAGGTTTATCTAGTCTACAGTCTCAATCACGGTGACTAGATCATCTTCAGATCCAGCAGTGCGACAGCAAACATAACACAATAAAGCCAGTGGGCCAGCTGAAGCAAGCCTAACCAACCAACTCTTTCACAGCTTTGAACAGCTTGCAGTATTAAAACAAAAGAACACATTGATAGTTCAATTCAGGAAGGGGTTTGTCAAATGTGGGGCAAGTAACCAAGATAAATGGTCAAAGAGACACACAGCATGCTTTTATAACGGAGAAAGTAGAGGTTTATCTAGTCTACAGTCTCAATCACGGTGACTAGATCATCTTCAGATCCAGCAGTGCGACAGCAAACGTAACACAATAAAGCCAGTGGGCCAGCTGAAGCAAGCCTAACCAACCAACTCTTTCACAGCTTTGAACAGCTTGCAGCATTAAAACAAAAGAACACTTACTGATAATTCAACTCGGGAAGGAGATTGTCAAATTTGGGGCAAGTAACCAAGATAAATATTCAAAGAGACACACAGCATGACCATCACATGTAAATCCATGATAGAAATCACAAGTTAAAGACTTCCTCGGATTGACGTCTTCCACCTCGAAGACAAGAACCAGACTGAGATTCCTTCTAGACCCTTTTGACCTTTTGTTCCTCACAGAACACATCCTCACATTCACAGAACGACACAGAGACTGTCTTTTACATGACTAAATGCATCAGATCAACCAAATAATGCTAAAAGGACTAATGAACAAATATCATTCTGATGCATAACTCCCTATGATGAATGTTACCAACACATTTGACTTTCATGTTCTAATAACTGATTGTGTATGTCATTTTTAACCCTCATGTGGTGTTCGGGTCCTTTTTGCTCTGAAAAAAAATATTTTTCCCGAAAATACTAGTTAATGTTATTGCATTGGACTGAAATTTTGTGACTTCGTTCACAAAGGGTATAACTACTTCTAAAAATGTTTTTGATCATTTTCATACTTTTCTGGGGGAGATTTTTCACCTTGTTACACCCGCGATGTTACAGAGCAAAAAGGACCCGGCCTCAAAAAATGCTTATAAATCACTCATTATGCTATATTATCAACAAAGATTGAATTCAATCTTTTTGTCAACTTCTTTTCTTTCATTTAGGACTGGTTTTGTATTTATATTTGCTTCTGATTAATCGTAGGCTTCATTTATTTGTCTCAAATAAATGAGGCCTACGATTAATCCGAAGCAATTTTTTTTTTTGCTCTGTAAACTTGTGTGATAGGTTTCTGAACACAACACAAGGGTTAATAACTATTAAATAGTTTATAGGTTTATATTCATGTTTGGTATGTTTGTGTTTGAGAATTGAATGATGATATCAGTCAATTCTTAGTCAAATTTATCATATTCTTATTATAGAAATCATGTGTAACTTACACTTTGCAAGAGTGGGAATATTTGGACCATGTGACTAATAACGTTGATTTATGTATTGGAAGGAGAAAAAAGCAACCCTCCCCCGAGCTAAGACAATGTCTAATTGGTCAACACCCCATTTGAGATGTGTCCAACAGCCGAGTTTAAAAACTCAGGACACCAACAAATTGAGCCTTTTGGGCTTTTGCCACCACTTTCAAACTCAATAATTATTAATTTTTCCACTTATGTGTTAAAATGTATGGTGTTTTGTGTAAAATTAGACAATTTTTATCCATTTAGCCAGATGTATGTGGGCAAGGGACTCTTTTAAATTCAGGTTTGCCAAAATCAGTAATAAAATCCAAAAAATGCTGCAGAGCTGAAGAGGTCACGATCACAGGTAAGAATTACACTCTAACATATCTGACGCGAGACATTTCAACAGTTTCGCCCAGTGTTGTCATGATTAGAATTGTTATTTTTCTTCTCCAGAGGAAGACAACAAAGAGATAGTGATAACGTCTGTCAACTTGACTGGAATCTTTCAATCTGTTGAATTGGACCTGTTTTTGAATGTCTGCTTTGTTTTGCCTCCAGCTAGAGCTGTGACGTAATTGTGATGTCAGCCCTAAAAGAGTCTATGGATTTATGCATAGTGGTCACGAGGTAGCACTTAACCGTATGCTGCTTAAATGGCTCTTCAGTTCGTCCAGACAAAGGAGTTCTCTTTTCCCTTGATTGAATTAGCTATTATCATGTTGAGAGGAAACTAATCCAGACAATGAAGGTGTTGTCAGTTTTACGATCTCGTGATGACTGTGTGGGGGAATCTTTAGATCCTGTTTTGGGAATGTGTTTATTCTGCAGCTTTTTGGTGGATCTGTTGCACAGAGGCCTTACACAGTGAAGAACAGAATTAAAAATATAACTCAGTCTCTCTTAAAAAAGTGTTACAGTCTATTCCTCAGCTTCCTGAACAAGAACAGTTTGTAAAAACCTCTGCTTTCCTTCATGAAAGAGCAAGTGATACATATGCATTATAAAACAATTGAACATAATATGAAACTCAGAAGAAATCACAACAATACCATTTAAATCATGAAGTAAAATTATATAAAAATAAATATTTTGGACATTGTTCTTTGGGGAGGAACTCTATCTTTGAGTTGATCTGAATATCACAGCTGAATCGGCTGGTTTTGAAAATGAAGATGAACTTTATTCACTGAGAAAACTTTAATGTTTCTTTGTCATGTCGCTTGTAATGACAGATTTATCCAGATTATATTTTATTGTTTGATGCATTATTGTGTCACATTTGTTGAGGACGCAGCCATCAGAGCTGAAAGTGCTGGATCTGAAGA